CAATGTCAAGTCATATTCAAAACCACATTTTTCAAATAACCCCCAAGCATTTCTGGTAAATGTTTGCCGGCACTCTGCTTGATGCTGAGCGGCTGCGAGTCGTCTAGAATTTGTCTTATCTACTGTCTCGGAAGCAGGCGGATTAGACATTAGCTGGGATTGATTTAGCCGTCGAGAAGTTTCTTCATCAGGTGTTTCAATGGCACGCTGAGTGGACATACGCTATGCGTTTTCTTGATGCCAAGTAGCTGCTACTTCAGGTGTCTCTAAAGCACGCTGATTACCCATAAGCTGGGCATGCTCTCGCCGTCGAGAAGTTCCTTCATCAGGTGTTTCAATGGCACGCTGAATGGACAACGTTGTGCGTTTTCTTGACGCCGAGTAGCTTCTTCTTCATGTGTCTCTAATGCACGCTGATTAGCCATAAACTGGGCATGCTCCCGCCGTCGAGAAGTTGCTTCATAAGGTGTTTGATTGGATCACTGTGTGGCCATAGGCTATGCGTTTTCTTGACGCGGAAAAGCTGCCTCATCAGTTGTCTCTGATGCACGCTGAGAAGCTATGCGGATAGGATTTTCCAGACGCCGAGCATCAGCTTGCGCAGAAGTTTCTCCAGTTCTGACTTCTGCCTGACGTGTTGCTTGGTCACGTCTGCGCTGTTCAGTATCATAAGTAGATTCTTGCTGTCTTGCAATTTTCATAGATGCAGCTCTTTGTGAGCTCTGTGAACGATTTGGTTTACAATTGTGAGTCATAATTAGATACACAAAAAAATTATAACAATATCGTTGTCCTAGAAATATGTATGAAATATTAATCTATCAAATTAGCTTTGACATGAATGTCAAAAAATATGTACCTACTTAAACAAAATTCATTTGCATCGATTTTCCCATCGAAATAAGATATTTTCCCGCAGTAAAATGTAGCCTATGTGTTAATCCAGGGTATCAGCTAACTCCACACCAAATTTTATTAAAATCGTTCCAGCCGTTTAGACCTGAAGAAGTAACAAACATACACACTCACATACTCACAAACTTTCGCCTTTATAATATTAGTGTGATTTAATTCGCTTGGGTTTACTTTACTATTCAGAAGATTATTTATATTGAATCAGTGGACTACATTACAGATGATATTGTTTACGCCGTAAATTTGTTATGGCCTACGAAGGGCTTTAAGATGACGTAAAAATATTTTGGAATAGTTGGTTTAAAAAAATTTTTTGTTACCTATTAAAAAATTTAAAATATTTTTTTATGATTTTTATTTTTTTGAATTATCTGTAATAGGTAGATTTATTTTCAAAGTTGTGTAGAGCACGAGATTTGTGATTTTTTTGTGCTGGTGCGTAGGAGGGGAGGCAGCTCTATGGTCGGAGCAGTCTGACTCGTCCACTGTGGACGGCCGCCTGTGGCCGCGCGCCGCCGCCCTCGCCGAGCGGCTGTGGGCCGAACCCGCGCTCACCTGGCGCGACGCCGAGTACAGGATGCTGCATATTAGGTAATCCCTTTTACGAGAAAAATCAAGTATGGTTATAATCTCATGCACATAAGTTAGCATCATCATACGCTGTATTTCAATATATGGTTTATGGATAGTACTTATGGTCCGAGCTAGTGTTGCCAGATCCGATATGTTAAAAATCGGTGCAACAGTTCAAAAAAATCGGAATTTAGGGTTGTAGATCGGGACAGTAAACAAAAAACAAGGGGTTTTTTAAGTCTGGGTTTAATTTATTGCGCTTTAAACCGGATTCCGGGAATCAAAAAAATAATGAAATTTAGGTGGGGGTATGGCTAGGGGTATGGTGGGTCTGGCATGAATAATATAACTATTTAATTAATTGAGAACTTCGGAGATTTTGTGTGGTTTCGTTTGAAATTCATGATTTCTCGAAAACCGGAAGTGCTACGTTACTCAAATCCGGTTTGTAGTCTTATCAAACTATTCTTAACTTATAACTTATATATTCTCTTTATCTATCTCTTACGGTTTGGCCGCTGAAACAGCACCACAGACAGACGGACGGACGGACTTGTCTAATAAATAAGAGATACTATACTTGCAAGTAGTTTAAAGCGCAATAAATTAAACTCAGACTTAAAAACCCCTTGTTTTTTGTTTACTGTCCCGATCTGCAACTCTAAATCCCGTTTTTTTTGACCTCTTGTACCGATTTACAACATATCGGATCTGGCAACACTAGCTCGGACCCTAAGTACTATCCATATACCATATATTCGAATACAGCGTATGATGATGCTAACATACGTGCATGATATAATAATATATTGCGTTCTCGCTCGTTATTTATTTTTAACATCACCTTTAAATGAGTACAACTTTCTTTCACGTTTAGCACCCTTACAGTCATTTATTTTAAATATTCTTGCAGGGAACGATTGGTGCGAATGGGAATCCAGGCTGACTCTATCCAACCAGAATGGTGCTACCAGAACCAAGGATCCTGTTATTTGTAGTTCATTAAATATTTTTTGCAGTTATACTGCTTTAGGCGCGTTATGAAAAAATTATGAGAGTGAAATTTTAAGATGCGCGCGCATCACTGTAACACAAAATTTTAACAGCATGAAGTTGGTCGCTTTAGTGAGCAACTTCATGCGTTACTTTTGTGTTTACCGCACATTAAGAAAATCTACCAACAAAATAGAAATATAATCTCTATTTAGTGGGTGCTAACGACTGCATTGTGAAGGCCTATCAAAAGTATTTATTAATCTGGAACAACAACGGAACCAAAGCGCGATTCAGGAGACTACAGCGCCATCTCTTGACCATTGGTGTAGTAGAACCAAAAACCACATCTTTATTTTTTGTAATAAAGTAACAGTTATAGGTATTCATATTTATAATATCAAAAGTATTTATTAATCTGGAACAACGGAACCAAAGCGCGATTCAGAAGACTACAGCGCCATCTCTTGACCATTGGTGTAGTAGAACCAAAAACCACATCTTTATTTTTTGTAATAAAGTAACAGTTATAGGTATTCATATTTATAATATTTATCCACATGTTTCTAGTTTGTATATTCGGAATACGTGTTTGAGTTTCATACAAGTGCAAATCACATATGTTCTAATAAATTATATTCAGTAGCGATTTTAATTGAATATTTTGATTATTTATTTAATTTTTCATATTAAAACTGAACTTTATTGACTGTGTCCTTTTCCAGACTTTTTATTAATTTATTGTAATTAATTATTTGCATGCAATTAAAAACTAATTTTAAACGATGCCAAAGAAGGATAACTTCTCACGCGCCTACATAAGTACACGCACCCATTTTTTTAATACTTAGTTTTATATGAAATCTTTCTTCCGTAATTCCAATTGAATCCCAGTGTAAGTTTATGCTTAGATGAAAGCGTCCTGCAAAGCCTTTAATACTTGCGATACCGAAGGTATCTCTTACCTACCCTAACCCCATCCCTTTCCTCTACCCCGTGGAACCCTGTTCCCTCACTAACCAACAGAAACATCACCAAAAAATAATTTTATATCAGTTCCCCAGACGGGCACTTCATATCGAGCGGGAATCCGCTACGCCTCTAGAGATCAATGGTTCTTAACCGGTAGTTCGCGGATCACTAGTGTTCCCTGGACTGAAAGGTCTTGAAGTCGTCCGCGAAGCCATTCTAAAAATACTACATAAGTTCGAGTGGGAGGGGGAGAGTTCAAATCGTAATGGTCTCTCGTCACTAAAAGGGGAAAAACCACTGCTCTAGATTGACATCGAAATGAAGTTTGAGCCTAACACATAGAAATACTTACTCGTGTCGAAATTTGACCAAGTGTTGCAGCTGTTGCAGGAGCTCTGCCCTATCAATAATCGTATTAATAATACACCATTATCAAAAAAGGGATAAACAAGAAATAAACTGACTATTATTACTGCTATTTTAAGTTGACATGATTAACTAAAGCTATTCGGCTTTAGCTAAAGTTGCATATTACAAAAATATATTGCCATAAAAATACGTGAAATAAAAACTTTAACAAAAAAATTAAACCGCCGAAAAGTTAAAAATAATAAACCTTTTTTTTATCTTTAGTCATCACTCCATAATTGGCACCACCGGTGTCGAGTCTGGCATGATTTTCTAAACTTAAAATTAAATTTAAGAAAAGTCTCTCCTTATCGTTCTGTATAGAGAGTGAAAGAGCACACTGTTGTCAAATTTAATTTTAGGTTTAGAGAATCATGCCAGAATCGACACCACTATAATACTCACCTATTATAGGATTGGGAGGTTGGAACTCACAATGCGGGTCTGGTGCGGATCGGGACTAAAGCCCTTACGATCCTTCTGAAGCACAGAGGAAATAATAAATTTTTGGTCACCCATCCCATAGCCGGCCATTGCGAAAGTTGCTTAACTTTCACGATCGCAGTTCTGACGCGCTAACCATTGGCGCCATTGAGCTTCTTTAGATAGGTACCTTTTTAATACTCTTTGAAAGAAAAAATATATTTTTATGTAGTATGAATTGTCATTTGGCATCCGAATTTACTTCTTGGTTACAATTTCCTAGGTAAACTCGGAAGCGGACTCGCCGTTTCGCTCTCTATGCGTTGAAGCGTACACTTCTGTCTCGCTTGCTCGACTGAGTATTATTTACTGACGTGTGAGAGTTGCTTATGTAGTTGAGTCGGATCATATTTTATTTGATGCTAGTATGAGCGTACCGTATCTTCCCTTTTTGTTTTAATCTAAGATTATGTACAACCAGAGAAACTGCTGCCTTCTTCCAGCGAAGAGATATTAAAATCTTAGTTAATCCTTATGACCAATTAAAGGCTCTAAAAACCACCATGTGGCACACGTTTTATATTAGAATTCACTCTACACTTTTATTTTTACATAAGTTAACGAAAAAAAAACGAAAATTTTAAAAAAAATAAGACCTTGGCTGCATGAGTTTGCCTTTGCCTTTTCCAAAAGGTACAAAAAATAAAAAAAAATATGAAACATCATTTTGACGTTTCCGTGCTGTATTTAGGTAGGTACTGCATTGTTTGTTGAAAAATCGAAGTTTTTGTTTTATTTTCGCATTACATTTCGATCCTCTCACGAAATAAATTTATAAATCTAAAGTTCTTATTCGGAATGAATTGCTGCCAAAATATGTCTATGCCGAGTTGCGTGTGGTTTGAGAGCGGAGAAAAACAGAATATCATTGCATCAATATTCGCTGGAATACTGGTTAGTATCGTCTGATGATTCATTGCTATACATTCGTATTGATGATTTTTATAATAAAATACAACAACAAAACCAAACTCTAATGGTCACATAAGTATTTTCGTAATCTTTCGGCCTCTGTTGGAAATTCTTTGCTACTTAACTGAATTTTTTGTGTGTTGCTCAACACAGTTGTCATTAGTATTGTAAAAAATTTTATTATTATTTTTGGATGGCACCCAAGCAAATGTATGTAAACTTGTTTTATAGATAATTTTTATTATCTTTGTATTTAAAAATATTTCGTAGTTTCTCTTGCACTTGTAGTTTCTTTAAATAAAGACTAAGGCCCGTATCATAGAAAGATTCTCAGTAATGAATCTAGTCTTGAGCTTAAATTAGGGTTACCAGATGATAAAATCAAAAGTCCGGAGAAAAGGCTTGATTTCCCTTGAAAAATCCTGAGATTTTTTACAGTTTGAGAATTTTCTCTCAAACATACTTAACAATTTCAAAAAAATCGTAATATTATCGTATATACTCTGCTTAAGCAGTAATCTGATAAGCATTCTAATTATTTATACCATTATTTTGTTGTGATCAATAAGTAATAACTATTTGTTTTCCAGTTTTTCACAGGATGGTGGTTCATAATTGATGCCGAAGTGAGATATAGTAACAGTATCAAAGCAGCTCACGTATGTGGCGTAATGGCATCACTCTCCTTGATCATGATCAATTCAGTTTCCAATGCACAGGTAAGAATGCTGATTATTTATACAAAAGTAAATAGAATAATGCTTCGGAAGGCACATTTAGCTATTGGCTCCAGCTGCATCTGCAGTGGTTAGCATCCACCACTCTGCACTGGGCCCGCATGGTGTGTCATGGCCCAGTCTCCCTATTCCATCCATAAAGAAAGCCTCTGCTCTTTTATTATTCCATGTCATGATCAGCCTATTAATGTCCCCCCAATAGGCTGATTATGAAATAGAATAATATCTCCAACAATTCAAGAATTCGTTTCATTGTTATATTTTTTAAGCATTTAACTGCTAGATGTTTAAATGTAAAGAAAAATTTTACTAGAAATAATTCCATGCGGACCAGGCAGCAGATGGGACTCCAAGCTGCACCCTTCGCTATCTGGAAGAATGCACTGACAATTATGATACCACAGCCCTGACAGCTGTGACAACTTTTCTCTAATAAAATAAATTATTATAAAACTTACTTAGTTCCAAACAGCAAATCTATAATAAGCCATGATTTGAGAACAAATTTTGGCTGTAACCACACAAAAAAATGGGCTTTGACTGGGGTTTATACTTGAGACATATAGGAGCTATTAAGCTTTTAGGAGGAGCTTGAGTGCGCAAGTGATTAATGCGTTTGGTTGCAATTGTTGAAGTTAGCTACTTTCGCAGTGGTCTGTTATTGGATGGGTGACCAAATTTTACTGTTTCAAGCTCCTCTGTGCTTTGGAAGGCATGTTAATGCTGTTGGTCCTGGCTGCATCTGCAGTCATTAGTATCCACCAATCCTCACTAGGCCTGCATAGTGGGTAATGGCCCAATCATCCTATTCCATCCTGATCCATAGGGAAGGCCTGTGTCGCATCAGTGGGGACATTAATAGAGAATAAATAATAGACATAATTTCTATTCTCAGTCTGTTTTTGGAAAAGAGCAAATGATAATAGAATAACAAAGTTAACAATGTAATTGGAACAAATATGTCAACTATATTACTAAAATTTCATGTTTTTTGTTGTCATCTTAATTTCAGGTGCGAGGTGAGACGTACACGGGAGGATGCATGGGTCCACGCGGGGCGCGCCTGTTGCTATTCCTTGGATTTGTTATTGGATTTGGATCTTTGATTGCATCTTGCTGGATTCTCTTCGCTAACTATGTCAATGACAGTAAGTAAAACAAAATACAAATATTGTGGTTGGTTTAAATAAAATAAGATAGAAATTGTCGCCTAATAAACGGTTTTCATGAAGAAATAAATAACAGTTTGTAGGAGAAGATTCCTTGAAAATTATAAAAACACAACGATCTTTCAGACTTGTGGCGCTACTGTCACACGTAACAGATTGGTGGCGCTACTGTCACACGTAACATATCAGCTCCGCGATTTTTACCGTAAAAAAATATAATTAATAGTCGAAATTTGAAAACAGTGTGCAGTAAGTGAAAATAGTGATGTGAAAAATCTGTGCAAATGTTATCACTGGTGAAAACACTATAAATAAGTGTGTGAACAAAAAAAATATAAACAAACATTTCAATACTTCCAAAGTCATTAAATTGATGTTACAATAAACAAAAGCTATTATATTGATGAATAAATGCTTAAAATATAACCAAAATTGCTTAAACTGTGTTAAATTATAAATAATTGACAAAAATAGTGTGTTCAGTGAAAAGATTCCTTATGCATGAGTCATAGTAACGACTTTTGAATCATTCAAATAACGCTTTTGCACAGTACTATACTTATTTTCGCAAGTGCCACTAACGCGTTCGCGGTGCAGGCGGATTATCGCTAACACAAACTCCAGAGGCCTTGGGTTCAAAACCTAGCATGCAAAAATTGCTTTTAGACCAAATAATTTTTCATTTTAATTTATTATTGACATCTAAGAACTTCAACTTAAACTATAATGCCGTCGCTTGTAACCTGTCACATATGCAAGAACAAAGTCGAAGCCAGACAAACAATTCTTTGTTCAAAATGCAAAAAAGCTTATGAATTTGATTGTATTGGGTACTCAAAGAAGCTACATTTATTAAAAGACCAAAAAACAAAAAAGAGTTGGAAATGCAAAACGTGCGAAGACAAACCAAAGATATTAGGAACACCTAACACTGACCCTTCTTTTGTCACAACCCGGAAAAAGCATACTATTAACGCACCACAAACAAGTAAAAAAACATCACCTGCCGCTGAGCTCATTGAGCAGATATCTCCGGGTAACATATCATGTCAATCTGAAGACTTGCATTTAAACACCCAAAATGACATGTCATCAGAGGGATCTCCTTCAGCATCAGATCAAATTTTATTAAGAAGTTTGGACTATGGATTAACAGACACAATTTCAGTTCACGAAATCAAAGAAAATATGATTCGTCTACAATCGGAATTGGAGAGCACTCAAAAAGAATTAGAAAACTATATTCTAGAAAATAACAATATTCGTAGAGAAAATTCTAAGCTTATTCAGGAAAATAGCTTTTTGAAAACCCTTTGTCAGTCTCCGATTAGCGAATCTCGTATTTTACGAAGTACTAAGAAAAAAAATAAGCCATCTACACATTATAATATAATATCTTCGCCATATAGTTCACCCATACCAAAGCAATATAAGTGTTTAAATGAGAACACTGATTGTAGCATTTTATACCATCAAAGGCAAATTACCGAGTTACAAGAGAAGTTAGAGGACTCTGAAAAACAAATTATGTCTCTTACCAAACAAATATTTAAACTTCAAAAAATGCTCCAAGATATCAATACACTCGATAAACAAGTCCCTGCCAACATTACGATGACTCATCTACATGCAGACACTTCTGTACTTGTCGATACCATTTCTGAGCCCGTCCCAAAAAAAAGCATTAAAAAGAGGGTATTTATATATGGATCACAACAGTGCGTTGGGTTAGCATCTGCTTTAGCGCGATCGAGGGAAAATACAGCATACGAAGACTATTCAATAATGTCATTTACAAAACCCCACGCACTTACAGCAGATATCCTAAAAGACTCTCAGAACCTATGTTTATCACCCAACGACAAACTTATAGTATGTATTGGAGAAAATGATTATGACATTAATATACTGGAATATCAATTACGTCAATTATTAATTAATTTTAAGAATAATGACATCTTTGTAATAAATGTAATTAAAAATAGATATCTTAATGTATATGCCATAAACAAATGTATTCAAAATATTTGTAATGACTTTGAGATGTCTCATTTTGTAACTTCTGACAATGATTCAATTTTCGACATGTGTAAATCTCTTAATTTTGCTATCGACACTATTGACTATAGAAAAAAGTATCTTGATGTACACCAAATAAAAAAGTTAATCGAGCGTGGTAATAATCCAATGACACACAATAATATTACGAGAAAAAATAAAAAAGGTACAATCCCTTACTATTTTGCTACCCTGTCTACGCGGGATTTTACCGAAAAGACTGATATTAAGAAAAAAGGTACAATCACTGATTACTTTCCCGTAATTAAAAACCGACAGTTTTTTCGTTCCCCAAAAGTCTGAAGTGAAGGAGCCTTTATTTAAAATTTTGCACCAAAATATAGCTAGTATTCTCTCTAAGAAAAATCTTTTAGAACTTGCATTAGACGAACTATATGAAACAAATCATGAACCCGACATAATGTGTTTTTCTGAAACTTTTTTAAAACCTGACTCTCTTAGATACTTGAAAATCGCAGATTACGAACTTGCATCAGAGTTCTGCAGGAATAAACAAAGGGGTGGAACTTGTATATTAGTAAAAAGAGGATTGCCTTATGAAAAATTAAATATTCTACAAGACCACGCAATTCAAAAAAGTTTTGAAGCTTGTGGTATTTTCATGCCACTTCAAAATTTGATAACAATATGCCTGTACAGAATACCTCCTTCCGATCCTTACCTCTTCATGTCAAAATTAGACCTGGTTCTACACGAAATATGTAGACGTTATAAAAAAAATACAAAAATTGTTGTTGCAGGTGACATAAATATCAACACATTACAACCAGGCAAAGTCAACAATTATTTAAAAGATTTGTGTAACAACTACAACTTAACTTTACATAATAACACCCCCACGCGGAAAGAATCTTGCATCGATCATATTTTTAGTAATATAAAAAATGCAACATCTGTGGTTTTACCTCTTTGCTTATCAGACCATGATACAGCTCAACTACTCAGCTTTCCCATGAAACAAATATATATAAAACCTAAATCTTATTTTGTTTACAAACGAGATTACTGTATTGAAAACATTGAAAAATTTAGGGAATGTTTAACTAAACTATCGTGGTCCGAAGTTTATAATGAACCTGACTTCAATACAGCTTTCGGAATCTTTCATGACTTATTGAGCCTTTTTTACAACTTATGTTTTCCAAATATAAGAAAAAAAATCAATAACGTGAAAAGGAAAAAAGAAAAATGGATAAGCCCTGGTCTTAAAATTAGTTGTAAAACAAAAAGACACCTGCGCTTCGGATATTACAAAAGCAAAACATTAGAAAACAAAAACAAATACTTATCATATACTAATATTTTAAATAAATGCATACATTATTCGCGAAAAAATACTACTATGAAATTCATAAATCAGAGCAAAAATAAATGTAAGGCTACATGGTCAGTAATCCAAAATGAAATTAATAATACTAAAATTGATGACAATATTACTAATCTAAAAATTTATAATAAAACACTGACATATCCAAATGACATAGCTACTGCTTTTAATGACTACTTCATAAATTTGACTGAATCGCCATCAATAAACTTAACTAAAGATAACCAAAAATTGCCATCACTAGCCAATTCAATGTATTTACAACCAATGACCATTGAAGAAGTAAAAAAGGAAATCATGTGTTTAAATAATACCAACGCTGAAGGATATGATAATATTTGTACAAAGATATTAAAGATGTGCACTACAGAACTAACACAGGTCCTTACACACCTGGTTAATACATCGTTTATATCAGGAACGTTTCCTGATAAACTAAAAATCTCTTTAGTCAAACCATTACATAAGAAAGGGGACAGAGAGAATCCGGATAACTATCGTCCTATTACGTTAATACCGATCCTTTCAAAAGTCTTCGAAAAATGCATGCTAAACCGGCTCATGAGTTTTTGTTTGAAATACAAAATCATAACAAAAGAGCAATATGGGTTTCAAAAAGCAAAATCTACATCGCTGGCAATGTTTGATCTTATGTCAACAATATTGACAAATCTAAATAATAGATATTTAACAACGGGGTTATTTTTTGACTTGTCAAAGGCCTTCGATTGTGTTGCTCACCCGAGACTATTAAAAAAACTAGAATCCTACGGTATCCGAGGACCCACCTTATCATGGTTAGCATCCTATCTAAGCGGTAGGCGCCAAAAAGTTATTTTTAGCAAAGTAACACAAAATGAAATGAAATCGTTCTCATCTGGTTTTAGGGAAATTCGGTGTGGCGTTCCACAAGGGAGCGTTCTAGGACCAATTTTATTTCTATTATACATCAATGACATAACACAGGTGACTCAACATAAATGTGTTTTATATGCCGATGACATATCAATAATTGTAACATCAAATAACATTAAAAACAATGACTCGTTACGAACACATTCATCTGACATTAATAATACTATTGACATGATCATTAAATGGCTTAATGCAAATAATCTTAAAATTAATATTAATAAATCCTATTATATACAATTTAATCAATCTAAACATAAAAAATATAAGTTTACATTAGACGTAGCAAAAATCAAAGAAGTAGAAAGTTTAAAATTCCTAGGTGTAAAAATTGACAAAGATACAAACTGGAAAACCCATATAGATATGTTAAGTCATAAAATAAATAAATTTGTGTATGCTCTGAAAAGCATAAAAAACCTAACCAATAAAAAAACCGCTGTTATGTGTTATCGTGCATACATTGAATCTATCCTTCGGTACGGAATTATACTCTGGGGTAATAGCACGGATAAGAATAGAGCCTTTATTGCACAAAAGAAGTGCATTAGGGCAATATGTGGAATCCCGCCAGACCAATCATGTAGACCATTATTTAAAAGTCTTGGATTGTTGCCGCTGCCATCGCTGTACATATATGAATTAGCAGTGTTTGTCCACGGGCACAAGCAGTTGTTCAAGAGGGTTAATAATTTCCGGCTTAGAGACCCTTACAGAATGATATTTAATGAGGTCCCAAGGTCTGACAAATATAGGAAAAGTTGCTTATGCCTTTGTGTCGAGATCTATAATAAAATCCCTCCCGACATAAAAATACTGAATATGAACATGTTTAAAAATAAATTATATAAATGGCTAAATGAAAACAATTTTTATGACCTAAAAAGTTTTTTCAATTATAAAAATTAATGACATGTTTTAATTTATCCTATAATAATTATGATAAATGTATCTTTTTAATTTTTTATTTTTTTTTATATCTGACATTTAGAAATCTTGTAATATTAATATGTTGACATTGTATATTTTATTGACATAATATTAGGTAACTCTGACATTCATAATTCTACAGAAAAATGTTATAATTAATTAATCTCTTTTTTTTATTGGTTCCATATTATGTATTTGCATGCTATTTTTAAAATGGCAAAACACGTGCTCAAACCGTTGTGTAATACCTATATACCGTGTTTTTAGCAAATAAAGATTATGATATGATTTATGATATGACTTAAATTTATTTTTATTGTTTAACCTTGATACCAAGATCATTATTGAAAAAGTGATTTAAGCAATTAGCTTGGTAAATTAAAATAATCAAACTGCATTTATTCAATCATCTCCTTCATGAGCTCCATCTTGAGCCTCATTTGTGAGTTGCAAATATTTTCTATGATAACATTTAGGGATTGTTGCGATGCTTTAAATCCTTGCTTGAATTAAGCAACTGAAGTCGGTAATCAGGACCTTGCCAATTGGTCATAATAACCGACACGTCGTTATAAACGATGTTGTTATATTAGGTTTTGACTGTATACCTAAAATATAAAATATAGGTACCTAAATATCAACAGTGGAAAGGCAAAGTCGCCCTTACGCAACTTTGGTCAAAAATGAATTATAATATACAGCGTGTCTCACGGGTTTGCCACACGGTGGGAATGTATATTATACTTGCTGTGCCCCGCGGTGTTACCCGAGGTTTATTAGGGATATTTTCCCGCAGTAGAACGTAGCCTGTGTTAATGCAGGGTGTCCGCTAACTCCATACCAAATTTTATTAAAATCGCTCCAGCCGTCTAGACGTGAAGAAGTAATAAACTCATAAACTTTCGTCTTTATAATATTAGTGTGATATTGAAGTTAGGATATTGTACTGAAAGAACACAAATAATTTTATTTTTAATAATAAATAGAACTGCTTTCACAGATTTTTTAAAAACCGCCCTGCCTTCCTGCCTGGTATCAAACTCTTAGAATAAAAAAAAAGTAAATGATGTATTTTATGATAATCACCAAAAGGGTTTATCATAAGGATTATTTTTTTTCTATATAATTTTTCTAATCTAGTTTTAAATGAAAAGAAGATCATGAAATAAAAATTTGGTTCAGGAAAATTTCCTCTTACGTATCATTTCAAAGTATTTACTAACTAGTACCTGTACACTCAATAATACAAGATTTCCTGAAAATAAGTCTGTGATAAAATAAATAAAGCCATACTTTTACAACCTGTAGTAGGTACTTGTATGCATTTCTTTGTGAGGTCACAATTATAATGCGACTAGGCTATTTTTCTAAAGGAATTAGTTTACAAGAACCGGTCCGACAGTGTGCAGAAGTTATAAAATGAACTTACACGTATTATTTCAAACAATTACCACGCAAAGTTAGGTTAATCGACAGGCAGAGTAATTATGTAAAGAGTGAGAATTTGAATGGAACATATTTTGAACATTTGATAAATTTCATAAAAAAGCTTGCACTGTTTCTTTTTTATTGCAGTTTGTGTTCAATTATTAAAAAAATGAATTTGTATACTACAGAATAGAACACATTTTGAACATTTGATAAATTAAATTACATAAAAACTTGTGATTAACGCGTTCGACGGTTATCATAAAATATGTAAAATAAAAATAAAATAAAATAGCCTTTATTTCAGAACTTTCTTAACATAACATTGATTATACATTTTACAATAAGTCACGCAGTTCTGTGTGCCTTTTGGCAAAGGCCTTCTCTAACCGACGCCATTCACCTCTGTCAGCTGCAACTCTTGTCCAATACGGACCCAGAGTACAGCTGATTTCATCCTCCCATCTTCTAAACTGGCGTCCTCTCCCGCGCTTTCCATCTCTAGGATACCAGACTGTCACTCGCTTGCTCCATTTGTCTATGGTACCTCTCAGCAAGTGGCCCGTCCACCTCCATTTTTGTTTGTCCACTCTAGATAGAATGTCTGTTATTTCCTTTTTAGATCTTAGATCCTCACTTCTTATTCTATCCCTTAGACTTACTCCTGACATACTTCTCTCCATAGCCCGTTGACAATGAGTCAGCTTATCCCTTAGCTGCGTCGTTAAAGACCAAGATTCACAACCGTAGGTCAGACACAGTAAAATACAGGTATCGAAGGCTTTCCTTTTAATGTGGATCCCCAGACTCTTGCTTTTCATTATTTCCTTCATCGACCAGTATTTCTTCCAACGATAGGCTATTCTCTTGTTGATTTCTTTAGTCATCTGGTCACTAAAAGAAATAATTTGACCCAGATACACATATTCTGTAACATATTGAAAATGGTCCCCATTTAACAATAAATCAATGGGATCTGAGTTGGTCATCACCTTGGTTTTTTCTTTATTTAACTCCAGGCCTACTTCTATACTAATTGTAGCTAAATCTTGGATCATAGTTTCAAGCTTCTTTGGATCCTCTTCGAACAAAACTATATTGTCCACAAACCTGATATGGTTAAGTCGACAGCCGCTGATGTTTATGCCAAAGTTTTCCCAATCCAGTTTCCTGAAGATGCTTTCAAGAACAGCTGTAAAGAGCTTAGGAGACAGAGGGTCCCCTTGCCTTACACCCTTGCATATAGGGAATGGGTGGCCAATAGATTCTAATTTTATGCTACTTATGCTTTGTTCATACAGGTTTTTAATTATGTTTATATATACTTTATTTACTCCTTGTTGCTTTAAACTTGACCATATGAAGTGGTGGTTAATCGTGTCAAATGCTTTATCATAAAATATATACATGTGTTTTATTTGTTTCACATATCCCGAGTTTCATTCCCGGTTGTGGCAGGCGATTTTGTAAAATCTCTGAATGCAGTTCTACTTATTATTTAAAATAAAATGATTTCTTCTTTCAGTAAAATATCCTATCTTCAATATTTAATATACTTTCCCTCCGTGTGGCATGATCGTGGGACGCCCTGTATATAATTTTATTCAGCTTTTTTTTTCTGCGTCGACCTGTTTATGTTTCGTGATGATTTGAGTACTTTTATGAAGATAAATTTGGTGTTATTTGAAATAATCGCGCTTACGCTCTTGTATTCGGCGTATGATTTGATGTTTGGTTGACAAAAAATGTATGGAGGACCGAGTGATTTTCGCTTAAGCGACATCTAATTTATAAAGGAAGTGCCTTTGTAGTGTAACTTTTTAATAGGAGGATATTTAGAAAAAATAATTTAATTTTTATTTTTATGGCTCTGCTTCTCATTTACAACGAGTTATATTATTTTTGAAAAAAAAATTGGGGGGTGCTAACGACTGCAGATGCAGCCGGGACCAACGGCATAACGTGCCCTCCGAAGCACGGAGAATCGAGATAGAAGTTTTTGCCCACCCATCCAATGACCGACCACTGCGAAAGTTGCTTAACATCAACCATTGCAGCCAAATGCGCTAACCACCTGCGCCATCGAGCTCCTCTTCTTCCAACTAATATAGTATAACTTCGAGTTTAATCATTATTAATTAAAAAAATTCTTTCCTCTATTACAGAAAACTCAAAATCAACTTGGCCGGGAGTGTGTTTGTTCCTCCAGAACGCTCTCATATTTGCAGGATCGTTAACTTTCAAATTTGGACGCACTGAAGATTTGTGGGGCTAAATTACCTTACCTACCCTTAAAATTTCCCAGTCATTTGAGTTTTAATAGAGAAATTTCATTTTCGAGTATCATATTATTTTTGAAAAATTAATTTGCACACTTAATTGTTTCATTGCAACTACTTTCGAAATATAAAGTCCTTGTGGTACGCACACACAGCAGTGTTTTAAAGTTTTTAAATATTATGAAGCCTGATTTATACCAAGGCATATTTGGTTTCTAATTAAGTAATGTCTTTTCTCCTTGTAAAGCATCCACTTTAAATTTAGTACCATACATAACTGCTGTGCTTCCGTTAAATCGGAGAGTATTAAAAAATTCATCAGTCACAACAAATATTTTACGTAGATTTATTTGAATAAGTATTATTTATTAGTTTTTAAATGTCTCAATTTCAAGTTGTTGTAAATACTTACATTAAAAAAAATATAATAATTTTATTATGTTTAATGAATATAAGTTATTGAGATCCACTGGATAATACTAATTTTAAAAACACTAAACTTGTGTTTTATTTTAGGTTATTTGTTGTATATTCGGTTACTCGAGATCTTGAGTTATTCCAAGGAAATAATGTAAAGGTTTGAAATAAGTACCTAGATTTATTATTTTGATATCAATAAATAATAACATTGAATAGTTTTGAGGTTTTATTTATATGTATAGTGTATTTTAATTAATGTATTTGACAGTTTTAAAAATAAAGTTAGCATCTGTGTTTAGAATAAATATTGGCTGGGGTTTATACTATTTTTACAAAAACAATCCATATTTTTACTAAGTACCCATGAAAAAGATAAGAGTTTTCTTATCTATTGTCACGTGACCCAAAACGCTTGTAATTGGCGGAGCCTAAAATGGCGTCACACGCAAGTAAACTTCCGGTTAAAGTGACATTACATTGTATCGTTTGACGTTTTAATAACAGTCGTGTACCGTCACACACTAGTAAGACGCCATATTGTCCAGAAAAACGTTTTCGCGGCAACTTGAAAATGGATTTTTTGATTTGGTTATTTTTACTGAAATACACAACAGAATGATGAATATCCACTTTTTAACTCCATAAACATTAGACAATAACGTGAGATCGCTTTCTAAAACTTGTCAAATACCCTATTGTACACCGTAATGGACAGTTATAAGTCGCGGCATGAAACTAGCACTGATCGCTAATTGAAAATCATTATTTTCTGATTGAGTAATAAGTCTTTTTACAAGCTTAAATTACCTTGCACTTTTCAGTTCGTATGTAACTAGGTATGCAAGTACATGATATAGTCCCGAAGGTAACACTGGAATGGAAATCCAGGCTTACCCAACTTCACACTGAACTTTGACAGTGTGACGGTGTGATAGTCGGGAAAAAAATCCCCACCATAAAATTGGTTTTAGGGTTTGGTGTGACGCTTGGGAAGGCATGCCAATGGTGCTGATTCCGACATGATTCTCCAAACTTAAAACTAAATTTAATATCAGTCTTTCCTTTTCATTTTGTATAGAGAATGACAAGGATATTCGTCAAATTTTAGTTTAGTGTTAGAGTATCATGCCAGAATCGACACCAATGTCATGTGTATTCAAATCCGTTGCAGATACATGGAGAAAGGTTTAGTGTATGTTGTATGGGCTCGAGGACTGCTGGCGTGTAGCTGTTCCTTGGCTTCGCCATCGTCTTTGTCGGTGAGTGAAGCTAAGTTTTAAAAACTGCAATATCTTATACCTATATAAAATTCTCGTGTCACAATGTTAGTTACCATACTCCTCCGAAACGACTTGACCGATTTTTATGAAATTTTATATGCATATCCCGTGGGTCTGAGAATCGGCTACTACCTATTTTAAACATCCTTAAGTGGTTAGGAGGAATGTTATCCCAGGAAATTAATAGAACACTACGTTACACACACCTAAAAAATCTTATTGTACAATATTTTTTTTATATAATGTGGTATAAAAATACATACAACCTTAAATTTCCTCTTCTACCACCTGCCCCTATTTTTATGGCGGTACGAAGTTTGCTGGGTCAGCTAGTTTTATATAATACTCACAAAACTTTCTACGTTCGATGTAACATTTAACTCGAAGATATTCGGCGCATCCGATTTTGTTATTTATTTATTGATGCTATTAAAGTTGACGACTGGCACATTAGTTTGGACTTCGTTTCATATAGAGTATGGAAGTATTTGTCTTAGAAAACTACCACATTCGCTTGGGCCATGCATTGGCCGACAAGGCTATTCTCAGACCCCTCTTTGCCAGTGGGCACTTTGGGCAAGTGCCCAGGGCCCCACGATCGATAGGGGGCCCCCTCAGATCAAATACAAAGTCCCTAGTTCCTGTTAAATCACCAAACGGGGGTCATCATCATCAACCCATGTTCGTCCACTGCTGGACACAGGTCTCCCCTAATGCACGCCACTGCTCCCGATTTTGTGCTACTCTCATCCAGCCCACTCCAGCCAGCCTACGAATATCATCATCCCATCTTGTCTCAGGGTGTCCAACCGAGGTTAGGTTACCAAGGAAAGGTTTACCAAGTCGTGGTCTCCACTCAAGAACTTTCCGGCTCCAACGGAGGTCATAGGGGCCCCATTATCCTAATATGCCCAGGGCCTTCAATAGGTCAAAGAAGGCACTGGCTATTCTATAAGAACAAACTCGCTTTGCTTTTTAATCCGCAGTGTGATTTAAAATTGGGACATTAATTTCGAATAAATATTAAATCATACGGACAAAAAGTGATTTTGATCTACAAAATTGTAAAACTGTTCGAAATGCCTTGTTTTAGGGATGTTGTAAAAAATACTCTCTTCAGTATTAAATAACTTTATTGTTTGGTCCTTATCAATAAATTATATTGATTGAAGCATATTTTGTTATTCGTAGGTATCTATTTTATCTTGGAAGTAACAGCAAACACCATAGTAAGTACATAGTTTATTTTATCTAATGTGACCTATTATTATACATTATATAATTACTATATTTCATTCAACATATCTGCTAATATCAATAATTGCTGTAGAGTAAACTGTACAATACTTTTGATATTCACGTTGATTTATCGACGTAAAATAGCCTCTGTAGATAGCAGTATGTTAATAAGGCTATGAATTAATTATTTATTAAGTAACAACCAAACTAAGAGCAAAAATGGTTTGTTCAAAAATATATTTTTATAAATATCACCACAAAAAACGCGGCCCTTGGTAACAGGTATTTGGCTTAAACACTATATCGAATATTAAGCACTAAATACACACAATTGACAGACTTTCTGTATGACCTTTAAGACGGATTTGAAATTTTTGTATGACCTTCACGAAGATATAAAATTATTGGCATTTCTTTTCCAATTATCTGCTTGATTTTTTCGTTCAACCTAAACTTCTCAGGAATAAAAATCATGTTTGCTACACCTACAAAAAGTCTGTGTGGTCCTAAGACCTTTTTGAGTTTAGTAACCGCTTTCGCCTTCTGCACACGTCCGGCTGCCCCTTCCGTCTGGTAAGCAGAGTTGTGTGAGCTCACAGTTGCCGTTCCGGTGCTGGCATACGTTGCCTACTCGTGGGCAACTGTCAGGGGCTACTGCGACTCCGTAAAGCCTTCGCGAGGCTGTAGCTATTGGAACTTGACCCTTCTGTTGCGTCTCGTTATCAATGTACTCGATTTTCAGTCTGTAAATCAAGACGGGAATTGTAGTTAAAAAGAAGAAGTACGGGGAAGTATGCAACATAAAACTTTGCACTTATTGTTAGTAAATTCGTTGATTGTCTATTGTTACATATTTGACATTATGTGATGGAAGTTGACCTCAACACATGTTTGTAAGTTTGATGTCAACTTTCAATTGGACGACACTGTATGAAATAAAACAGGGAGAAAAAAGCAGCCCTTGCTGAGTTTCTTGCCGGTTCTTCTCAGTACAAGGTCTCCCGCCGTAGATTTGCGAACCGATGGCGTAGCTTTTCGACATTCACAAGTGCTTGTAACAGCCTAGACTGAATAAACGATATTGATTTTTTTTGATTTTTTTTTAAATAAAGAAGGTAACACGAACGGTCTCGAATAAGTAACTGTTCTTTATTAGAACATTTACTTCATACAGGAGAGTACGAAGCGGTGGTTTTAAGGAGAGACGTGAAGAAGCAACTTGCAGGCCGGTAAGGTGTAAAAGACTTGTGTGGCAGGTAAAATTGCTGCACCAGCTATCCTCGCGTTTCGACTCAACGACCTCTTAACATTAGGTAGGGTGAACCTAATAAAGTAATTTAAAAAGACTTGGGACCTAAGAGACCGCAGAGGTCGTCAAAACTTTTGAATCGTCAGTAAGAAACTCACGTTTTCCAATCGCTCCAGTAGAACTTGTTGCCGTTGATGGCCAAGCCGAACGGGTAGGTGCAGTTAGCGGCGATGGTCTCCTTCTCTCGCGTATCAATGTCGACGCATTTGATGCTGTGCAAGCCGGCATCGGCGTAGCAGAGCCGGTCGCGACTCCAGTCGATAGCCAGCGAATTGGGAAGCTGCACCTCCGACGAGTCCAGGAATATGCCGCGCTCAGACCCGTCCATGGTGGCCCACTCGATCTTAGGGTCGGCGCGGTTCCAGTCCGACCAGAAGATTTTCCTAAAATGTAAGGAAAAAATAATCCCAAAAAATGTTATCGGAGCAATATTTGCGCCAATTCATGATAACTCTTTAGTTTTGTGTTTTTCTTTCAGAATTCATATAACTAACAAATCAGAGATATTGTCTTTTAAACATTATTAGAGGTATAGACGTCTTTATTAGGGTAAAGGGGTACATTGGTAATATTGCTATTTATGTTATGCTAAAGTCCATTATTTGCGTTAAACTAGGTGCTAGATGCCTAGTTACATACAGATTTTTCACTTGTCTCAGAACTTACCCTCTTTGCGGATGGACTGCAATGCCTCTGGGATTAGTTATGCCATTTCCTGAGAATAATACTTTTCTAACTTTTGTGTCAATATTGGCCACTTCTATAGTGTATTTCTTAGAGTCTGTCCAATATACGTTTCTGCCAGACCAGTCAACAGCCAGACCTTCTGGTGATTTGACATCTACAAAATAAACAACAGGTATTATTTGTTTACTAACTCTTGTGAAAAACATCGTGATTCCGGATAAGTTTGGAGTGCCTGCTTGGGAAATTTAAAGGTTTTTTCGAATTTATCTGTTCTTTTCTTTACACTAGTGGCAGCTTATCTTCTGCAGGAAAGTGTTTAAATTGTAATTTTCAGTACTATTAAATGAAGATATCTAAATAAAATCAGAAAAATTGAGTATGGTGCTTACCGACTGATAAAAATTGATCGTATGCAGAGCCGTCGTATGCAGCGCTTTTGATGGCGTTTCCCACAACATCTCCCCAGTATATTCTCCCAGTCAAACAGTCTACGTCCACACCAACAGCGATTTGATATATAGCACTGTTTAGTGGTGTTGCGAATTCTCTCGGGCTTGTCCTGAATGGTACTCGGTATACAGAAGCACCGTCACTTGCGACCAAGAATCCGCCTGCCTTTCTTGGATTTAGTTCGCAGTAGCTTCCGTTGCCGTTGTAGCCGGTGTTACACTCGCAAACGTATCCGTCGCTGCGTTTCAAGCAGGATGCATGTGCGTCGCACAAGTAGGGGTTCGTTCTGCAGTTCACCTCTGGTGTGCAAGAGTAACCGTCGCCAGTGAATCCTTCCCGACAAATGCATTGGTAGGTGTTGTCATAGGGAGTGCAAACGGCATCAGGACTGCAGTCATTATTGATGTCGCACGAATGCCCTTGAGGTGCACATTGTACTATGCCATCGCCTTCGTAGCCCTGGTCGCATTGACAATAGCTTACTTGCTCCGTTTCGTCATAGAGGCAAGACGCGTGTTCAGGACACACTGCTCCGTTGCAGAGCTGACCGTCGCGAATGCACGCATCGTTTTCATCTCTGATGTATCCTTCTATGCATTGGCAGACATAATCGCTGTTTGAGGGGTCAAGTCGGCATTCGGCATTGTATTCACAATCTGAACTGGTCGTGCAGCTGAAGTTGGGGCGGCAGGTGTAGCCGTCTCCGTGGTATCCCGAGTTACAAATACAAAGAACTTCCCCATTGGCAGTGTCGACGCAATGGGCGTTCGGGCCGCAGGAGCACACAGACCCGGTGCGCTCGATACATTCCAAACCATCTCCTTCGTAACCCTCGGGGCAAACGCAATGTCCGTACTGAGCAGTACCGTCAGTTGGTGAATATATACAGACGGCGTTAGGTGGGCAATCCGCATCGCTGTAACACGAGACTGAAATAGAAAAAAGTGTATAGTTAATCATTACTGTTTAAATATATATTAAAGATCTTCTATTCTAGCAACCAAGAATGTTATAGTTGCCAGAAGCCTATCAACGGACAGGTACAGAAATGCTTGTAAGCGATAGGCTAGCAACATTCCATTATTATTTCTGAATGCTAACTTGACCTAACTAATGAATATGCGTTTTCAAAGTGTGGTTTGGAGAATTGTTAAGGACCATTAACAGAGGCGGAAGAGATTGTCAACACCAGACCATTGATACAAGCCCATATTGACCCAGAGTCTTGAAGCTGTTAAAAGACCACCCACTCCACCTACTCTCTGATTCTCTGAAGTAGAGAAGACTGCAAAAAAAGGGCTTCGTCCTGCGGACCACTTTTGGTAGCGTTGGATCAAAGAATATCTGCCAAACCTGGTGCCAAGAAGAACCGGATCCCGGGAGCAGTTGCGCTGCGGCGATGTCGTCCTTATAGTGGACAGCTCATTACCACGCTCTACCTGGCCCATGGGAAAAGTTGTCAAAACCGGTCCGTAGACGTCCACACTAGAGCAGGCGTCCTAAAGAGGGCCTCCAGGTTTCTAGTCCCGTTGTCCAGTGCCTGTACACCATTCTCAATCGTGTTTCACACCAGGTTGGCGACAGACACTGGCCACCGGCCGACTCATATATTTAAAATGTTATTTTTAATTTTTATACTTTTCATTTCATTTATTTATTATTGTTTTGCATGCCATTGTGTTTGTTGCGTATCCTACTTGTTTTGTGCCTAATTATTGATTTTAATGTAATAAAAGTATTTCATTTATATAACGTCAGAGTGCCGTTCCTTACTGGAATGTTATTGCACTTTTTTGTCTTATGATGTCGTTCTAATGGTAGTTCTGCCAACTTGTAAATTTCTTTACTTATTATTTATAATTATTATTGTATGACAGAACGATTTATTAGCGTACCTAATAAAATAGGTACCTTGTATATATAATTTAAACTTTTCAATAATAGCTTGTTCTGAGAAATGTAGGAATTACGTTATTCATCGGACATAAATAGATTTTTATCTAGGACATACCTACACATAGCAACCACTACACACAGTAGGATCGGAGGAATTTAGAATGGGGTCCTTTCAGTTAAGCACAATATTATTAAGAGTACGGTGTAGTTTTCTTAAAAGTATTGTTATTTCTTAGTAAGTATCGAGTGACTTTATCGAGTTTCTAATTCCATTTAAGTACCTTTTTGTTTCTCTATCTCTAATAATGGCTTTTTGAAATTTGTAAAAAAACTCCCCCAGCGAACTTCGTACCGCCATAAAAAATAGGAGTTGGTAGAAGGGTGAAAATATATAGGGTTGTATGTACTTTTGTGTGATGTATCCTAAAAAAATCAACACAAAAAAATTGACAAAAAAAATATTTATGGGTACCCCTAACATTTAGACCGACTGAATATGCAATAATTTCACGAAAATCGGTCGAGCCGTTTCGGAGTAGTTCAATTATGTACACCGAGACACGAGAATTTTATATATTAGAAGATTAATGCTTAATAGTGTTATGACTGTATTTTGTAGCTTGACAAAAGAATTTAGTGCATCATTCGAGATTGTTAGGATTGTCAGTCAAACTTGATTGTAAGCGACTGATGTGATTAAGGAAATACAAATTACCTACATTTTTAATGTTGTATTGTAGGTACTACAGTGCTGCTTTAGCGTTTATCCTTAGTATTATCTGGTAGAGTCTGTGCGGAAAGAGAATGGGCGTGGCGAAAAACGGAACTAACATTAAGATTTTTATTTGGCAATCAAACCCAGCAATCTGTAAAACGTCAAGTTCTGTATTGATACGGATTTGTTTGTTGTTGTGATTTCTTGCGGTTTTTTTGTAGTTAATCATGTCTAAAAGGGGTGATACCTTACAAATACGGTAGAAAAGCACTACAGCGCCCTCCAGTCTAAATCCCATTCTCTTTCCGCACAGACCATAGTTAGTTATTGACTTTTTTACTAGTGATAAAAAAAATACTGCAGTGCTTAATTGCTTATCTATTGAAAATAAAAATCTATAAATTTTGATTGACACAAAATAGTTTCTGATCAACTTGTTTATAGCTAGTTAATTCTGACATGCTGTTTGGACGTTGTTATTGTTGTAAAAATATACATCAATTAAGCAATTTCTTCTGCCTCTACTAAATTAAATACCAAGTTTTATATTAAACTAATTAATTTGCATGCTTGCGACTATTAGAAATGCCTTAACTTATTCGTTAACTAATACGTGTATTAGTTAAAAGTTGATACCAATATTCATGCAAAATCAATAAATACTTGAATTTTCCCACATCATCATGCGATCTTAATGCAAAGTTTCTAAAAAAAAACAAAACTCATGCATGTTTTTCATTTGCTTTTTATTACAATCAACAATTTTAATAAACAATTCATAATAATTATGGTCTAATTTAAGCATAAGCATAACAGGCGATTTTACTATTAAACAAAGCAGAGAGTAAAAAGCTTTAGTCGGGTCTCTTGTTAAATCTTCTCAATAGAAGGAGTGCTGCCGGGTGCGCCACTAGGTTTTGAAAGTAGCCTTTTTCAGCAATACAATAATCGGACTAGTTAAAACTAATTTCATGACTATGTGTAACGTTGGGAGGAGGTAGGATGCGTCTAGGTAAAATCGAATAGTAGATAAAGTGACCATCGCAAGATGAAGTGCGATTTGGTTCAGGAAATACGTACGGACGGTAAACAGGCTGTTATATCGGAGGGTGTTAAAAGGATTGTATAAGATCGTATAATCTAACGGGTACTACAGTGTCTGAATATTTAAATTATGGTACCTTTACAAATAACATCCAGAGTTGTTTATGGTTTTTACTCTACATTATCGAATATAATTAATAATGGTATCGCTGAAACTGGTTTCTATAGCTTATCAATGGATATTTATGGAAGCACTTACTACATTTTTATAGGTTTGAAGTGATATGGTATGATGATTCACTATATAATTTTAAATGTGTTCCTCTTAATTGTATCTACCACCATCATTTTAACTTATATTAATTATGGTACATTTTACAATGATCTTTGAGAATAATGATATCTTTTCATTGTCAACAAAATAATTTTCTCTTTCATCCAGTTCCTTCAATTCTCGAACGAAACAGTGCCTAATAAAGAAACTTTAAACAAAAATTATTAAAAATAATATAGCTTTAAAAATGAACAAAATAGACTTTAAATAAACAAGAACTCACTTAGCACACTCAAATAAAAGTGTGATTCTTGCAATAAGTTTTGTTGTTTTCTACGGACAGTGTGAAATTGACAAAATAATGTTTCAGAAAGAGTAAGAAAACATAGCCTTTTTGACAAGGATGAAAAAAGAGTAATGAAATTTAGGAACTGTTAATTGAATGAAATGAATAATAATAATAGGTTAGGAATAAAAATGTATTTTGGACATTAAAATATAATATCCGCCAAATTTGGATAGTTACAAAAATGGATATTAGATTTTCAAGAAACTGTAAAAGTGAAGAATAATGCCAAATCTGCAATATCGAGTTTTATATAGACTGTGCTCCTATTTGAAACTCTTATATTGGACTTGGTAACGTGTTCGGAATACATTAATTATTGCATCTCATCTATCGTTAATAATTTTAGTAAGTGGCACACTCAGAGGCTGTTAAAATTGATAATCGATGCATCATTAGCTTCTTAGTGTCCAATTGTACGGCATTAAAACTACCTATGTAAGCTAGTCGATGCATGATATATATCACCGACGACGGACGATATATTAAAAGTCAACATTCAGAGTACAAGCGCAGAGAAGCCTTCAAAGTCCTTGGTAATTAATTTTCAAGGTTGATTGAAGTTGATGCTGTCATGTTTTTACGATAATTAAAGAATAAGACAACACACCACTTTGATTTTTAACATAACTGACTTCTGTGAGCTAAGTGGAGCCGGAGAGGACAACTTAAATTTTCTAAAATTTTTGTTAATAGAAATAACAAAAAAATGTTACTGTTTGAAAGATCAAGGATGGCAGTTTTAAAGTAATAATGTAACATTATCTGTATTATTATCTATGTGTGGAAACTCATCAATAAGTAGTTTTAATTTGTTTATTAAAGACGTGAATATCTTTATCACGTCTGCGTTATCCTAATAATTTGAAAACATTTGACATGCGTTCATAATGTATTTTAAATAGTGAAATTAAAATTAATATATGAAATGATGTATTATTATTGAAAACTGAACCTCTTTATGGAAATATGTATGAAAATGAAAATAAAATATTAATTTATGGTAAAGCAAAGAATGAAAATAGTGATGTTAATTGCTTTATAATAGCAAAAACTAAGGCTTAAAATAATTAATATGCAATCATATTATGTGCTAAACGCAATAGTTACACAAAAATATAAGAAAAGCATAATACGAAAGAAAAGCAGGGCAGATTCTAAAACTCTCATTAACGGAACTACTTTTGTAGTACATTAATTTATGAGATAAATGTGTAGAAGGAATACCCTCTGCGGATAATGCCTCACCATAGCGATAAAACTTATTTTAATGGAATAGATTTTATATTTTATGAGTTGAAAAATATTTGAGGATCTTATGGAAGCCTAGTTGACGGTGAGTATCTGAAGTGGGCAAGCATTTTTTCTTATAATTTGAACATGACATGCAAGTGCAAGTTGTGTTAGTAACAAATATGTCTATAGAAATTATTAAAATACCACACCATATACAATATAATTAGCACAATGACTTAAATTTCGGCGAAAGAATAGTCATAATACTCACTTGAGGTGTCGTTGTTTTCAGTGATCGGTTCCACGCTTGTGCTATAATAGCTGTCCAGGCGGCATAGGTCATTGTTTCTTTCGTCTGTATAGCTTGTGTAGCCGTAGGGGCAAACGCATCTATAGGCGTCGCATTGAGGTAAAACTATCGAATCGTTGTATTCGGCTTCTCTTGTACTGCGTTCGTAAACGGGCTGAGGGCTTGATTCGAGATCTGTTACATATTCTGTTGTTGATGGTTGCTCAACAACTGGCGATTCGCGATATTGATTTTCAGAATACTGTTCTTCAGATTCAGGTCGTCTAGTAGTTGGTCGTTCATAATTTGGTCGCCCAGGACGAGGTCGCTCAGATCGTCGTTCAGCATATCGATCATCTTGGCGCGAGCGCTCTGAGTAGGATTGCCTAGATTCCTCCTCACATTGATATCCGTTACCAGAATAACCAGAGTTACACTGACAATAGTATAAGTTTGAAGTTTCCGAAAATATACAAGAAGCTTGATGATGACAGTAATCGCAGGAATTATCGTTTACTCTAACACAACTGTCCCCGTCGTATACGTATCCGCTGCTGCATTCGCAAGTTGGTTCTTTACCTTGATTTTCAACACAACGGGCGTTGAAACCACACGAATGCTGTGTACATTTTTGTGTATGTTCGCAGGTTGTTCCACTTCCTACGAAACCATGTCTACATTTGCACTCGAATCCACCTTGATGATTGTAACAATCAGCATTAACGTCGCAGTTGTGAGTACCAGCTTCGCACTCATCAATGTCAATGCACGCTGAATTATTTTGATGATATATATTTGTAAAACCTGTCTGACAGATACATATATACGAATCACCTTCCACAATGCAAGAGCTGTCAGCTCCACAATTATTACGACCTTCCCTGCACGGATCTTGTCCTAGAGGTATGATTTTGTTGCTTGATCCGTATCTCACAATATTATCTCTGGCCTCGTATCCGAGGTAGTTTTTAGATACTTTTAATGTCACTGGCATGTCATCTTCTTCAGATGAGGGAGCGTAACGACAAGCTGGATTAAAGGTGAAGGTTTGCGTTACTATTTGTTCATATTTTTCACCTGTGTTTTTATTTATAAACGTGCGTGTAGATTCAGATCGGATGAGTCCTGGTTCGATTTTCGTGAATTGCTCTTCAAATTCTGATATATGTAGTTTTGTTCCACTTTGCCCTTCGAATTCTGATATATCAAGCTTTGCTCCACTTGCTAAATATGGCAATGTGCCTCGAATGTCTGTTTCTACAATAATTTGATCAAAAACGTCGTGCCCTAAAAATTCTTGGTTGATCACAACTCTGTCTTTAGTGGAAGGAAAATAAATGTCAGCGGTGTGATTGAAAACAGCTCCGGTGTGTTCGTACCCGTTTTTAGCAGAACCTGTAGGCTTTGCAAATAGCCAACCGACAACACCGCCGAGAACATTGAGAAGCCGTAGACTACTGCCCAATTTCATCGGGACCAAGGATAATGCAGTGTATGACCTGCCGTCGGCTACGACTACGTAAGCTTGGATGTCAACATCGTTCAAATTAATGTTATTAAGGACACCGTTTACTTTGCCATGGACCCTGAGGGGTTCATCTTTCTTGATACACGACTTCCCGTTGCCATATGAATCCTCGTTGCATTTGCAGCAAATGCCGGCTTGGTAGTCAACGCAACGGGCTTGAATGTGGCACACGCTGTTACCGCTCTGGGCGCAGGTTTTGGATTCTTCTTCCACTTCCAACTCGCTTTCGTCGTATTGATCGGGAACGGCGATATTTCCATCGTATGGTAAATCACCTACGCGGAATACGTATTTGCCCGGATCGTGTGTATTCGACCATCTGGAAACAAGTAAAAAATTTAATACCTCTTTGAATTATAAATAATTCAACAAAACAGAAAAGTATTTGATAAGTAATTAAATACTCACGTCACAATATTGCGAATTTGCTGACTGCCAGAGCCTCTAAGTGTAAAGATGCGGCCATCCTCGGCGATAAAGCCAGCTTGAGCTTTCGCTTCGGGAAGACTGGACGTTTGGGTTTCCTTCTGGATCCATTGAATCTCTCCTTCTGGGTATAATAATTCTACAAAGCTTTCTGTGCCATTGCTTATTACTACAACTTGGAAGCTATTCTTGCGGTCCTGCGGTTCACGGCTCTTGTACGTGACGTCAATCCAGGTGGCAATAAACACGCTGGTTGGTCTGAAGTCAAAGTAGCTCAGAAAATTGTTCTGGACTGCTTCTTCTGCTTTGAGCAGGGCGTATGTGTCATTAGTTTCTCTATAGTAGATGGCACCAGAGTCGGTGGTGTCTATGTTTGTGTAGAATGCCGCAATGGACGGATAGGGCAGCGGAAATTCCGTGTTGAGGAATGATGAAATGTCAGATCTGAATGACAGAACCCCAAAGTTGTTTACCTGTGGAAGGATAAAGATGTGATGAGTAAAATGTTTTCTTTTCGGGTTATTCAATTGATAGTTAAATAGAAATATTATTGAGTTAGTTTGCTAATGTAACTGTTGGAAAAATCGATCCTATTTATTGTATTCCTAAGTGAAATTTACAATCATGCTTTATTTTTTCAGATATATTAGTCACAATACTATCACATTAAAAAAAAAACTCTTTAGAGGCTATGTTCAAGAACACAAATTAATTACATTTAAGATGTGTACACAAGATTGCTTAATTTTAGACAAAATCCGTGTAAACAATACGTACATCTTGTCACGTGTCACTTTTTTCGGTTCATTAGCTATTCTCTATAATTTACGCATAACAGTACACACTCAAGATATTCATTACAATAATGTTATTTATTATTAAATATAGGTCATAGTTATGGCAGTCTTAAGTTTTTATTTTGCCTTATTTGCACCTAAAGATTCAACTTATTGTCCAAAACTAATATTGTTGCCTAAAATCGTATTAATTTTAAAGATTTTAATACTCCTATTATTTTTACTTTATAAGATAACTAGCTGACTCGGCGAACTTCGTACCGCCCAAAAGTAATAATTTGCAATAAATTAAAATTGCGACTATAATTTGAGATTTAAACTATCCTATCTCTCAAGTTGGATCGAACTGCACATGGTGTGCGAATTTTATTATAATCGGTTCAGTGGTTTAGGAGTCCATTGAGAACAAACATTGTGACACGAGATTTATATATATTAAGATAAAACGTTATTAATAAGTATCTCTAGGCCAAAATTGATAAATATATTTTTTACTTCTACTATTTGGCTAATAATTACCCGACGCTTAAATAATAGTTACAATTTATCAGTAAAATAGGTACGTTATATAAACTTATGTGTGACCCACTGATAACTATATTTCGACGGAAAGGTCACGACTCTTGCTTTGATGTCATGACTCTTCCTTAACTGGACGTTCGTTGATAATATTCTGAAAATTTTCTAATTAATCACGGCTTCCTTATTTGAGTTAAATTTTTACTAAAAATTTGAAGACAACGAAATATATAATTTAAATCAAATCCCTACTGTTTTGAGTCACGTATTAGTACGTCACGTCAGTACTGCTCTAACCCTTGAATCATCTTTTGCCATATCTTCCCTAGTCGAGAAGAAGATTAAAAATAAATCTTTGTGTATATAACTACAACAACTATAGCTTACATGTAGCGTACCGAGCAAGGAATCACGAGTTCAATATTATAACGTGTATCTCTTATCTATTAGACAAGTCCGTCCGTCCGTCTGTGGTGCTGTTTCACACAAAATCTCCGAAGTTCTCAATTAATTAAATACATTTTTTTTAAATCAGGTTTTGGTGAACATTTGGTTCACTGGTTTGCTAGTATTTTATAATCGTCCCGAGTTCATCATACAATTTCATGTATTAGGTATAAAAGTATTTTACTATCATATTTGACTTAAAAGACCCTTATGGGCTCTTTATCACAATCTTGTGCGTCATCGGAACTTGGCTTTGGTCCAAACCATCTAGTAACATTAGGATATGTAAAGGAAGTTTAATATACAATTTCATGATTATGAAAAAAGTTTATTATAGTGACGTTGTCTGAAATGCAGTCAGTGACCGCTACTGGTGCCCGTGCGCCCACTTCTCTTCCGCTCGCGCGATGCATCGCCCATTATCGTTTGCAAATAATACTGTGTATTTATTTTACCTACAGTTTTGGGAGCACTTAATTAGAATTTAGTCCAATGTAGAGGGAATTATTAACTGTACCTACTCAGCAACATTGATGGAATTATACTAAGAAGATTATTAACATTTTTAAAGAATGAATGGGAATCGAATCAATCTTTCTTTAGTCAATGTGCTTTTTATTGTTTTTCTTGCAATCCCTTTTGATCTTTAACAATATCTGTAATATCCGCTGTAAACGTAACATTAAAACAAATATGCAGCCAATGATTCAGTATTCAATTAATTTGTATTTAGATGGTTGTAGTAATCAATACATTCGAACTCAATCGTAACATTTATTTAATATGTAATCTATTCTAACTCTATTCAATTCACCAAACAAATATATATACTCGTATATGCTATATCAATGCTATATTCCCTAAACTTTTTGTGAACAAGAAGCCTTATAGGTGACGATTCTGGCGTGATTCACTAAACTTAAAACTAAAATCAAGTTAAGCTTCTCCTTTTCATTCTGAATAGAGAATGTTGTCAAATTTGAGTTTAGGTTAAAAGAATCATGCCAGAATTGACCCCATTGTTGTTTTTATACATTTCTTTAATTTGTCCCAGATACAACTTCCAGGTTCAAATCAGAATGCACTCTTCACTATAATTACAAAAACACTATAATTGTGAATTTAATATATTAGTGTATTTATTACATTTAAGATTTTTTAAATTTATGTAATTTAATTTATTGCTGCCAGAAAAAAATCACAAGCTTTTATAGTTAGATTTCTAATCGACTGGAAGCTGAACGAATTTCTTCGTATGTAAGCTATCATCGGGTTAGAGTTTGTGATATTGTCTATTCTTGAATGACCTGTTTATACTTTTTTTATCTTTGTTTCTTTAATATTTGTTCCTTCTTTGATTACGTGGATAAGTAATTAGTATTTTTTTTTATTATTAATTCGTTGTAAGTTATTTATCAGTAATGGGTTACTCTAACATCTCACGGTGCTACGACCAAGAACTATATTGTCCCATGTCATATGTCTCTTGCAATTGATAGCTATCCGAGTAATTAGTAATACAAATCGTGTAATTATTTCCACTTAATTATTATCTAACGTATCTAAAATACGTTATTCAAAGAAAGCAGACTCTTATCTTTATACAAATTTTCGTAAAATATTGTGGTGTTTTTATTAGGTATAAGTTTTCGGAGTTGCTATCGGTTAACAATGGAAGCAAACTTTAAGTTTATTAGTTATTGAAATAATTCCCAAAGAAAGCGATAATGCTGTAAGTATAGTTTGTACATCTGTTCGTAATGTATCCAGAATTTGAGTTGTTATGCAACTTTAAATTATCGGACGCAAAGCACCTACAGAGTAAAAATAAAAGAATTGACTATATCTACAAAGTTACTTAAAATGATTCTTTCAATTTTGAAATGAGTTCAACTTATAGTTAAAATATAAGAAATGTTGGAAATGTATATATGTAGTAGATGCTAAAAGGTTTTCAAAATTTCTAGAAATCATAAATTTAAGTATCACGTACAACATAGACGAAACTTTATCTTTGACGTCTTCTTCTTTTTAAACCCATGTTCTTCAGTGTGTAAATCAAAAACTGTTCCGTCCTTTGTCCCTTGAAAATAATCACTTTTAACAGTTCCTTAAAATTCCTCCGTACCTACATGCAAAGATTCACCAAAAAGTTTACTCACAAAGATGCTCTCGTACGTCTCCCCGTAGAATACAACGGGGACTTCCAACGGCACTTCTGGTGAGGATACTTGGCTGCCCCTGGGCAGGCGTTGGTCCAGCCCATGTCCGAACGGATAGAACTGGTCCCTGGTAATGGCGCCAGCACACGCCGCCAAAACAAGCACTCCGATATACGTGAGCATCTCGCGACGATCACAACTCCACTGGGACTCGGCACATTTGACCCGAAAATAAACCGCCACTTATACTAAGCATTTGTTTACGTTTTACGAACCAAGATTGACAGTTCACGAACTATTTAGGTATTCAGAGACGTTTTTTTTTCACTGTTCTCCTAATTTTTTTCTCTATGGAGCTTGAAGTTTTCTTTGGTTTCACTTGGAAATAAATAAGTTAGCATTCATGATGGGAGGATACCTTGAAGAATTGACAGCGTTACAGAGCTATTTGATAAATTTAACAAAACTTTTTAGCTTAGTCATGGAAATAGTAAAATTGTTTATTATTTTCTGTTGAATTGACTTGTAGAACAGTCTCTTGGAGTATTTAGAAAAACATCGCCTAATGTTGCCTTAAGAAGATACACATTTACAACATCCATGTGAAATCGCTTTACTCAATAAATATCAATTTATAACTGCTATAATCTGTAGGTAATCTGTTAACGATGATGTCACAAACATACTGTTAATTAACAATGAAGTAAGTAATAAGTTATTTGTGGACAATGCTTGTCATGTGTTATCTATCGGTTGTCTGATGGGTGTTTGTTCTAAACAGCTCGTTGTTGATGTTGTCCTGTTTCTTGGACACCACAACCCTAGTCGGCTCAGAATAAAGTTTTAAATTGTAGAATCTCGCATGTATATCATGTATCTTGCAAAATCAAATCATCATAAGTTCTTGTAATGACCAAATTGAAAATCGCAGATCGAAATAGTGGGTTTCATATCAGCTTAATAGTATTTTGTCCCGTTTTAATGACCATTTCGACACTAATTAAGTACCATGTCGGTTTTCAATGCTGAACTAGAGAAAGAGAAATACAACCAATATAACCTAGGTAAGGTACCAGTTGAGAATTTTCCCGAGTAGAGTAAATAGTAGATTTAAAAATGGAGCAGTCTCGCAAACTATTGCAGAACGAAATGTATATGAATACTCGTACATCAGTAGGTGTCCGCGGCTCGTCTGCGTTTCAAACAAAGTTCATAAATCGGTTCTCTGGGTTAAGCGTGAAGTGGTAACAGATAGATAGACAGACATACTTTCCAATATAGTCAGGAGTATGTATTAGTATAGATATCTAGTTGGTGATCCGAGAAACTTGAAGATTTACTATTAAATTTAATCTATTTTCTTCAGTCACGTCATAACTTGATATAAGGTTTTTTTTTATTCCTCCTAGGCGGGGGAGCGGCTGTGAAATCCTCATGGATACCCTACAACTGGCTGCAAGGTTATGTCAGACTCCTACTGACTAAAACACACCCGTAGTACATGCCGATTGAAGGCCCTTACAAGCTTCATCTGAAGCTATTATCCTCTGAGAGGGGGATAATGCAGATATAACGATGTTACCGATTGCTTTTTCATTCATTTTTTTTGTGGTTTTAGAAGTTTTTTACGGAAATAAATAAAAAAGCTGTGTGGAAAATTGCAAAACTAAACATAAGTTATTATAGTTATATTTTTTTTATTTTAAGCATTAAAAAGTTTTAATCATAATGGTCAGTGCATTCGCCCGGATAGCGAAGGGTGCGGGTGCGACTCTCGTCTGCTGTCTGGTCCGCGTGGTTTTTTTTCCATCCGGGGATCTATAGTCATGTCTGATTATGGGAGTATGAGAGACGAAGCATGGCCGACTATCCACCTGTCCACGGCATCTGGTGGCCTATGACCACAGACCAGAGAAGTCCGAGATCAGGAGGGCATGGAGTTGGTCGCTGGATGGCCGCAGGGGCAGGGTGTAGTCATTTGTGCTTGCCCAAGTGAAGGCCCTTTATGAATGCGGTCAGTCAGCAGGTCAACGATCTTCAATCTCTACGTAGCAGTGCAGCACACTGCTTCCCACTCACCAAATGCAGCATGTCAGATCATGTATCTACGGGTACACGGTGAAGCATGCA